CAGTACCAGGCTGTTGGGGTGGCCGTCCACGTACGTTCGGGCGGCATGAATTATCGCTTCCGCTCCTCCTGGCACCGCCACGCCGAACTGTAGGGGTAGGAAGTGTTCACGTGCAGCTTCGCCCATGACCAACAGCGCAGCCTTGGCAGCCAGGCGCGTCAGGCATTCGCCGATCGCGATTGGTCGGGCACCTCCTCCAAGTCTGGCCAGGGCGATGAGTCGAGATGCTGTCAGCAGGTCCGCTACCGAGGCTGGGAGGTTTCCACCCAAAATTGTGTTTACCAGGGCGTGCAGATGGGTGGAGACAGATGCATTGATTATTGCCGCGTCGCGGAGATGCTCAAATGTGGTGCCTGATGGTCCGACCCCCACGCCATTATCGCATCGCCCAAGAAGCTTCGCAAATTCAGCGTGTGAAATGCCTAGGGGACGGGTGTTGGTTGCTTGCCATGTCGGCGACTCCGTCCCTGCTGGCGGGTGTTTCTGTCGGAGTTCGGCCAGGATTTCTGCACTTGGCGTGCGGACAGGTGTTGACTCAAGCGCCAGCACGGCTCGGCGCAGACTGCCACGTTTGGCCAACCCCTCCGCTCGACTCAATACACCTGTCACGTCGGGTTGGTGACGCGGGGGTGGAGGGGTGTTGACCGCGTTTACTGCATCTTGGTAGAGCTGCATCCACTCGCCACGCTGGAAAGCCCAGAGCCGGGCCTTGATTTGCGGCCAGTTTGGGTGCTTTGGCGAAGCTTGGCGAAGGGTTAGACGCGGGAGGAAAAGAAGTAGTCGCCAGCCAGCCTCAGAATCTGGGTTTCGCGAGAGGTGGTGTAGGGGTGACAGGAGTGCCAGCGAAAATAGCTGGCACAAGTTTGGCGGTAATCGTCTTGACAGTGGCGGTTGTCAACTATCGCAGAGGGCAGAAATATCCCAGTTCGCGATGTCAGCGAACATGTCGCTCCTCTCTGCCAACTCCTCTGGCGAGAAATACTGGGGCAGCTGCGGGTTCGCGACTGACGCATGGCGAAATGACGCGGTCCGATTTTCTTCGAGCGCGGCTCGATCGCGCTGATTGCTGCCGAGTTGGATTCCCAGCCGTTGGATCAGCAACGGACGGCCCTACTTGCTCCTCTGTTTGTGCCGTGGGTAAACTGGCTGCACCTGGTCCTCTCCTTCCTGTTCCTACCCGTGTTATCTCTGCTCCATCCCCTTGTTCGTTTTCACTCTCTAGCTGTTCTTCCACGGTATAAGAGGGGTCATTTCTCTCCTCGACTTCATTAGCTGCTACCAGAGCCATTAAAGCCCGACGCCCTGCCGCCTGATACCCGTTCTCCAGTCCTCCACCTGCTCCGCTAACTGTATGGCTCCTCTCTCCCTGAGCCCCTCGTCCACGCGATGGTGATTGTCGGTGCTCCTGAGCCGACGTCAGAGCTCGCTGCCTCCTGGCTGGCAATGGTCGCCAGGCATCAGTATGAGCCCGAAAGGGAGACCACGGCGACGAAGTCCCCTCTGCCTCCGGCTCCGAAGCCCTCGACAACATCCTCTGAAAAGCTTCCTCAATCCAGACCCGCGGCTCTCCTTGTCGCGGACGCGCCTGGTTCAATTGCGACTGTAGTCGCTCAGACTCCTGCAACTGCTGCTGCTGTTCCATCTGCCCCGACTGTGCAGGCTGAACCCCAAGCGTCCCCTGCAGCACCGCCGGAGGCTGTCGCCGACCCCTCGGCACCCTTGCCTGCGGGACTTGTCGCCGCGCCTGAGTTGCCGGCTCCTGCCTCTGTCTCGTCCCCGCAGGCGGCGCCCGCCACCACTGGCGGCCCGGCCCCGTTGGTTGGGCCCCCGGTTGGGGGTCTGGCTGCATCTGTTGTGCCACCGACTGCTCGTGTGGCGTGGCAGTCTCGCCCGCCGTCACCCAGCCGGCGCCCATCTCGCCCTCATTCTCCCGCTCCCCAACACGATCGTCAATCCTATCGGCGCCGGCGCAATTCTCCCCGTCGCCCGCATCACCAGGCCCAGTGGCACGCGAACCACGGCGGCCGCGGTGGCTGGTGGGGTCCCCGCGGTCACGGAGGTGGTGGGGCGTACGATCCGCCCGTGAGGATGGCGGATCTGAAGCAGGCGGTGTCAACTGCGGTGCGTGAGGAGAGGGCCGCCCTGACCCAAGGCAGCTCTCACGCTGTCGTGGCACGTGCTGCTCCTCGACAGGCTGAACTTCCTGTGGGCACGCCGCCGGCTGCAACTGTCCCTCATCAGAGTCCGGCCCCGTCGGCTCCCTCTGTTGCTGCCTCTGCCCTTGTTCCTGGGTCTCGGCTTCATCTCCCGCCCGTTGCGCCTGTGGCGGGAGTTGAATTTGTGGCTGCGGGAGTGGGAGCGCAGTATCCTCATCCTGGAGTTGCTTGATTTCGTATTAAGGTGTATGAGCCTTTCGGCCCGATTTTTCTCACCCTTTTTTTTTTTGTTCTTCTTCTTCTTCTTCTTCTTCTTTGCTTTGCACTGGTTGTTGCTGGTTGCCCATATTATAGTGCAGACCATCCTTGAGCCCAAGGTTGAAGTAAAAATGACAAGCACTTCCATAGGCAACTTATCATCACATAATAACCATTTCTTGCAAAAATACACAAAAGCACCAATAGCTAATGGCCCCTAGGGCTCCTCCTTGGGCCCCCTGGCCCTTAGTTCCTTAGGCTGCTCCTCAGCCTTGCACCCCCTGGTGCAGCCCCGTTATGTCCCTTTGACATAAGGGGAAAGGGCTCCGCCATTTGGTCCCTCACACTACGGGTGTGGGGCCTTGGCCTACACGTCCCCCCATGGGGCACGCGTTCGCCATGTGGCCGGGGCTGGCCGCAGCGAAAATAGGTACCCTTGAAGGTCCTTTCCTGGCAAGAGCCTTGCCCGGAGCCTTTGTTGCCGAGTTCGCCGGCGTTGAGGTCACCCCCGCGGGTGGGACGGTTGTAGGTCATGCGCGCGCGCTTCGACGCGGCCACGTCGGCCACGGCCAGCTTTTACGAACGGGAGGTCAGCACGCTCTTGGACTGGTAGAGCTGGAAGCGATCGGCCGCCTCGAAGCCCGCCTCGTCCGCCACCAAGAGCACCTCAAATCGCTTGTTAATGAGCGACTCGATTTGAGCAATGTTGGTGCGAGCGCCTTGCGCATCGCCTTGCTGGAGCTTGAACTCAATGTGCCTGAGGTGGGCCTGGATAGCAGAGAAAACCTCTGCCTGGTCGCGTACGCCCTTGCGGTTGACCGTGGAGTTTGCGGTTGCGGGGTTGAGGGGGGGAAGCGTAGAGCAAGAGGCATGAGTGAAAATTGGGTTGTGACGGCGAAGGGAGGCCTCACCATCGGCGTCGTCTGACTCGTCGCTGTCATCTTCGACGGGAGCGGGGGCCGGGTCCTTCTCGACGCGGGCAGTCTTGGGAGGGCGCGGTGCAACGGCGGGAGGTTCTTCTTTCTTCTTATCATATTTTGCAGAAGTTGTAGCGTCCTCATTTTTTGAAGTCCCCGCCGTAACAGGCGCGTGCTGCTGTAACAGCGCCAGTAGTGCTTGCATTTGCGCCGGGCTGAACGGGGGGTTGGGGTCGGTCGTGGCTGGCGTGTGGCTCGAGGGTGCTGGCGCGTGCTGCTTGACACGCGCGCCTGAGGGGCTCGAGGTGGTGGTCAAGACAGCCACGTCAGCGGTTGTCTTTTTCGCCACTTCGCGCGGCTGCCTGGAAGCCGCGCGAGGGGCGGAAGGCTCCTCGGAAGGCGCCGGGGAGCCTCCGCCCAGCAGGACCTTGACGCCAGTGGCGAGGTCCTCGCGTGACTCCTCGGCAGCCCGTTTCGGGCGACGGGCGGCTGTCCCGGGCAGAATGTTGGCATTCGGGGCGACGGGAGTGTCTGTCGCCTTGTTGCCCTCGCGATTAGCAGTGTTGTTCGCCGGCGCCATGGCTCCGATGTTGTGTTTAAAAATATCCGCAAGTAGAGTCGTCGGGCCAGTAAAGCGAGGGAGTGACAGCGTCTTCGTCAGACTGGACGAGATTGAAAACTCAAACTTCGAAATTGAGAAGAAGAACGTGGGTGAGGCCGAATGGCCTCAACCCCCTCTTTCGTAGCCAAAAAAGGGCGAGTAGCGATGCGACGCTGCCTTTGCTGCGTTGGCAATCGCTACACTTTCACAATACACAATTTTTGAAAAGTGTTACACACTTTAAAAAGTTTACATAATGCCATAATCAGGTCTCGTTTACTCATGCGAAGAAAAACGCTGAGAAAGAAGCTGCTCAGATCCTACGGAACAGGGTGGTGTGCTGATAAGGGCTTGGTTCGGTTTGATTCTCATCGGTCAAGATGGCTCATTGTGTTTTTGCGGCTGCTGGGCTGGGCTGGGTTGTCCGCCACGCGGCTGGCATCGCTGCGGCGAAGAGGTTTAATTTGGTGATCACCTTTGGCGAACTCGTTTGTGGCAGAAACACTCCTGAAATGCCCGAGCATCATATCGAAGTTACAGTTTATTAATTTCAAAAATCTTCACGGCTGATCAGCAGCACCCTCTCAATCAGAGATTCAGGGTGTTTTACCTTGATAACAGAACAGAGGTCCTGAGTTAATTCTTCATTGCAACAGCAACTGCATGTTATCAGAACCCAAAACTAACATATTTGCTTGCACGGCTTGAGGTGAACACAATTATTAGCATGAACTTTGATTCAATGAGGTGCACATGAAGGGGATGGAAGATAACAGGGTTGGGGCCCTTCCTCGGGTGGTACTACCAACTCCTTTTGGAGCTTTCAGCAGCAGAAGAAGAGGAAGAAGAGGGAGCAGGAGTGGTTCCAGCAGCATAGCGGGCACCAAAATCAGCAGCAGCAGAAGCAACAGCAGCAGCAGCAGCAGCAGCAGCAGCAGCAGCAGCAGCAGCAGCAGCAGCAGCAGGAGTAGCCCAGTGTTTCCTGAGAGCGAACAGCACCCAGTGGGCCTGGGGCTCGGAGGCTGGGGGCTTTTAGGAGCTGCTTCTAGGAGCTGCTTCTAGGAGCTGCTAGGCTGGATGACCCGATTTCTCTCCAGCAGCAGAAGCAGAGGCAGAAGCATTATCAGGAGTAGGTGGTACCGAAGCAGCGGGGGGAGCCCAGTGTCTCCTGAGAGAGGAGAGCACCCAGGGGGCCTGGGGCTCAGAGGGGGGCGGTGGAATCGATGGGGGCCGGCTGCGACGAAGCTCATCGGGTCGGTCAATGTACCTGGTGGTGGGGCATGGACGAGAGAGTGACACAGAGAGACGGTGGGAGGAGGAGGGAGGGGGAGAGGGGGGGGGGGGGGGGGGGGGGGGGGGGGTGAAGGCAGTGTCTTCTGAGGGCAAAGAGCACCCAGGGGGCCTCGGCTCAGATGGAGGTGGTGGAATCGATGGGGGCCTGCTGCGACGAAGGTCATCTGGCCGGTCAATGTACCTGGAGGGAAGAGGAAGGAGGGAGGGAAGGGGAAAAGGAGGATAGAGTGAGGGACACAGAGAGACAGAGCATTAGGGGGGCCAGTGTCTCCTGAGGGAGGGGAGCACCTAGGGGGCCTGGGGCTTGGAGGGAGGTGGAGGGACTGAAGGGGGGCGGCTGCGGTGAAGCTCATCGGGTTGATCGATGTACCTGGGAGGGGGGAGTGGGGCAAGAAGAGACAGAGGCGGGTTTAATACAAGGACCGTTTGAGAGAGAGAGAGACAGAGAGAGAGAGACAGGAAAGAAATGAAGGTGAGGTGAAGTGAAGGTTGGTCGATGTACCTGCAGAGGCATGGAGACACGCGTAGGACGAGACAGAGAGAGGGAGGTGGGAAGAGACAGAGAGAGGGAGGTGGGAAGAGACAGAGAGAGGGAGGTGGGAAGAGGCAGAGAGAGGGAGGTGGGAAGAGGCAGAGAGAGGGAGGTGGGAAGAGGCAGAGAGAGGGAGGTGGGAAGAGGCAGAGAGAGGGAGGTGGGAAGAGGCAGAGAGAGGGAGGTGGGAAGAGGCAGAGAGAGGGAGGTGGGAAGAGGCAGAGAGAGGGAGGTGGGAAGAGGCAGAGAGAGAGAGAGACACAGGAAGAGACAGCACCCGGGAGCTTAATTTCTCCTGAGGGGAATTGATGAGAGGTCGGATGCGACGAAGCTCGTCTGGACGGTCCATGTGCAGCAGACGGATGGACTTTCGATGCCCCCTTTCGGGAGGGTATGGGGTGAGGCAGAGAAAGGAGCATCGAAAGGGGGAAAGGTGGAGTGGGAGCTTTGGGAACAAAAAGCTGCAGAGGGAGAGGAGAGGTGGAGGAAAACAAACAGCTCCCGAGATGTGGACTGGGATTGAAAGCTTGTGACATGATGAAACAGCATGTAAGCCTTACCGAGAAACCTTAATGGGATATGGAAGTCAGAAAGAAAAATAAGATAAGAGATTCGACGAAAGGATTGAAATGTAAGGAGTGAATAATTCGTACTCGATATAAGCCATAGGGGCTGCATCCCCAACGCGTGTTCTAGTTGGAAGCACTCGAGTGTAGCCTCCTGCTCTATCCCTGGAGAAAAGGGAATTCACATATAAAAAAAACAAGCAAACAAACAAATCAAAAGGTGGTGGGGTGGGGGGGGAGTGGGAGCAATAGCATGTACGGGACAGAGGGGAGCTCCTCTACGTGTAAGGGTGCAGGAACATATCAATCAAAACCATTGTACTTTGAAACGTCAAGTTCTAAGACGAGCTAAATCACAGTGCAGTGTTTGCACATACACACTCTGTTCTCGCTACAAACACACTCACTTGTATCTCTCTGACAGGTCGTAGAAAAGCTTCTGCAGCACGTCCTTCCCTCTCACCACTGCTGCAGCTTCTCTGCGTGATTGCAGCGTGCCCTGCAAAGATTAAGAAGCGGGGAAAGATGGCAAGGGGAAGGGACAAATGTTTCCAGGGTAGGGGGACCAGACCATAGCACGTACGCATTGCATGCAGCAACCATAGTGCGAGAAACCACAGCACAGCACAGCCATGTGGTTGTGTTGCGTGTGTGATAACTCAACAACACTAATATCACGCACCTCCTTTGCAAGAGTGACCATTCGGTCCGCAACAGACCTCAACTCCTTAGCCTGGTACGGTAGGTAGTGGGGAGAGGCGGGGGCAGGCGGCAGAGAGACAATGGGGGAGAGAAACAGGGATGGGGTAAATACCACAGCCATAGCGCAAAGATAGCGCAACCGTAGCACACTTCTTTTGCAAGAGAGACCATTCGGTCCGCAACAGATCTCGATTCCTTGGCCTGGCAGGTTGTGGGAGAGGCCGAGGCAGGGGGGAAAGAAAGGATTCAGGAAGCAGCAGGAGGTAGAAGGGGGCGGGAGAGGGGGCAAGAGTCAGGAGGGGGAGACGCGGAATGACCAGGCGGTCCGCACCGGACCTCAACTCCTTGACCTGGCAGGTTGAGGGGAGAGGCGGGGACACGGGGGACACGGGACGAGAAGCAGGGGTTATCGAGTGTTGGAGAGATAGGGGGAGGCGAAAAAAGGGCGGGGGGGGGGGGGGGAGGAGGGGTTAAGCAGGGGAGAAAGGAGGGGGGAAGCAGAAAGACATGAAGGAGAAATAGGCATGATTGCACAGATTTCATCTGCTTGGCTGGATAAGCGAAAGCCTTGGCGACTGCGGATTCGACCATTTCAGGCGCTTCAATAATGCATGCTTGCACGGTACAGGTTCTAAAGGCATGCAAGAATGAATGCGCACAACGAAAAGATATGGGCTTTATTGCCTACCTTGGCGACTGTGGTTTCAATCCGCTCGTGCTGAATAAGCTGAGACACCATGGTGCTGCGGGGGGTTGCCAGGGTGGAGGGGGAGAGGAGGGATCAGGTAAAGGAGGAGAGAAGGCGGGGGGAGGAGTAACTTCAGTCCGCTCGTGCTGAATAAGCTGAGACACCATGGTGCTGCGGGGGGGTGGAGGGGGAGGGGAGGGATTGGGGGAAGGTTGAGGTGAATGCAAGAGGGGAAAGCGGGAAAGGAGTAGGGGCGGTTGGGGAGAAAGGGATGGAAGGAATGAGGTTGGGGGAAGAGGCGGAGGGGGAGAAGTAATTTCAATCCGCTCGTGTTTAATAAGCTAAGACACCATGGTGCTGCGGGGGATGGAGGGGGAGGGGATGGGGTGGGGAGGGGGAGGTAGACGAGAGAGGGGGGAGTGGAGTGGGGAAGAAGAAAGGACGGAGGGGGAGGGATGGGGGGAACGAGGGTGGGGGAAGAGGCGGAGAGGGGAAGGTTGGGTCTCAATCCGCTCGTGCAAAATGAGTGAGACACCATGGTGCTGCGGGGGGGGAGGGGGAGAAGGAGAAGAGGAGAGGGGGAGGAAGGAGTGGGAGGTGGAGAGTGGAGGGGGAGGGGGAGGTGGGAAGGGGTGGTTTTGATCCGCTCATGCTTGATGGTGCTGCGGAGAAGAAGAGTAAGAGCTGGGGGAGAGAGAGGGGGGAAGGGTATATTGATCTGCTTGTGCTGTATGAGCTAAGACATTATGATGGTGCGGAGGGGGGATAAGGGAGAAAAAGGGACAGATGGAAAAAATGGGGGGGAGTGGGGGAGAGAGGGAGGGGAAGTGGGCACCAACGGGAGAAAGGGAAAAAAGGTCGCAAACCCAAGCACGCGGTGAAACGAGCTCGCACTGCCGCGTGCGGTAACGGAAGTTACGACTCCCCGCCCTCACTCCCCTTCGTTGGCCGTAACGCACAGCCACAACGGGAGATGTGACTAGCGCTACTTCCCAAGCCCCATACGGCGTCATGCCGCGCCTGTTCCATAGCACGTTACGACAAGCTAAACTACACCACCTACTTTGGAGCGGATTAGAGAAAAGCACCTCGACGTAAATGTAAGGGGTCACCTTCGCCCCACGGCGCACCAGCGCAACCCCCACCAGCTTTGAGACGTCTCAAAACTGCGCCCCACGGCTCACCCCCAGCGCAACCCCCACCAAGATCCGAGTATCCTGCATACCGCGTCAGCACAAGCTACTTTGTACCACCTCCGTTTTACACCTCACCGGAGCAATCCACATCGAAATCCAGCTATCCCGCAAACCGCGCTACCGCAAGCTAGGGTGTACCATCTCCGTGCTACGGCTCACCGGAGCAATCCCCATCGATGGCTGCTCGCGCGACCCAGCTTGCGAAACGCGTTGCGGTGCTTCATTGCGACCTTCGCGAACAACTACGGCCGAAAGTTGATCGCGCAACCGTGACGATCGTGTTGAGGACCAGAGCCGTGAGAGGTAGAACCGTGTTATTTGTGCACTTAGAGCAGAGTTTCCTCCAATAAAAGCGTTTCACTACGACGCCAGTCTATCAGCAGGTTCTTTACAAGTACACTCAATTTCGTACTTAAGTAACAACAGAAAGGTGCAGAAAAAATGTCGTTACGCTTCAATATGGGGATTAAAAAAAATCATCAGTGGCCAACGATGTATTCAATGACACATTTACTAACAGTTTCCAGAAGTCTAAAAAATGCCATTATACAAAACCATTTTGCTGTTTGTAAAAACCACAAGAGGCATGCCATTACCGGTCGCTGGTGGCTTGAAATATAACTGTCAAAATTGTATGAAGATATACAAAATGGGAATGATAATGCAACACTAATTCCATACGTGCAGTGTGTCATTATGAGTGATGTAGCTATGAGTGGCAACTGAAAGAATATACCGTATGAAGCCAAAACTGTGAGGTTGCATCAAACGAAAGGAAACAAAACAAGGACCTTCAGAGAACCCTCCCTCTCTTTCCCTGCCAAGACACGCAGATATATCAGGACCACATATGACAATGAATCCCTAATTTCCCTCGGAAACCCAGAGCATGTTACTTACAGGAGGAGCTGCAACTGTGACCTCCAGCTGAAGCTCTTGTGCAAGAGCGTCTTCTTGCTCCGTTGCTTGATCTGCTGCACGCTTCACCAGGCAAGATGACTCGCTGGTACCTTCCACAGGAAGAGAATGCAGTGGAAGCGTGTACAGCTCATCCAAGAGCTTGACGTCAGGGTTCAGAGATCCAAAAAGCTTCAGGCCGAAATTTCCCTGTAAGATGCATACATCAGATCAGTTAGCTTCCAGATCTCAAACACAGTCACTAACCTGAAGGAACCACAGCAGCAGCTTCCTACCTTCGGTGTTATTAGCTTTCCACAAAGCCGGTCGATAGCGGTCACTGCCAGGATAGTCTGAAATTAGCAGGAAACAGGAGTCAGAACATAACTAATTCCAAAAAATATCGACTGATGATTTGAACGGATTCTCACCTGCACGTAGGCCTCAATCAAATCATCCACACCAACACCAAGCCTGTTGAAGTCCCGGCTGTCCATCAGCAGCAGCCTGTCTGTCTCCGTTCCCCAAGTCCCATCTGGATTCTGCAAACCCGATTCACAATGACAGGTCAGCTGCAGTATGGGAGGCAACTTACTGCGTATGCGTTTCCCAACAAGTCAGAAATTGGTGGTACCTTGTATGAGAGGTTCGTTCCCAGCATGTCCCAAGAATGAATCCCACTCTCAAGCTTCTCAGCAAGTGGAAGCTTGGCCCTCCGTGCATAGATGGCCACTGGAAAGAAGCCACCTGCTCCGGACCCCACCATCATCCTCAGGTCAGAGGCGTAGATGTTCCCTTTGCTTGTCGGAATGGTCCCCACGTGGTACAACCTGCCACTCACACTTTGGGAACTCCAGCCGTTGTTCCCAATCAAGGCCTGCAATAACGGGAACAGATTTGAGCTACCTGCAGGAAACTATAAATTCCATCCAAAAATAATATGCAGTGAATGAGAAACATGAGCCCAAATAAGTGAGCTTCTCGCCCTTGAGGTACCTGAACAATGAACCGGTCATAGCGCTGCTCAATCGCCATGAACTCCTTCAGCTCCTCGTCGTTTGTGATTGTCCACACGCCCTGACCTGCGTTAGCATAAGGAACCTTCACTACAGCCAGGCCACCCATTCTGCCGACCCAGAGGGGAATCTCTGGCTTGGCGACATCCCAAATGGTCTCAGGGGTAAGGATAGAGAGTCCAGTTGAAGCCAGCGCTGCGTTGTGAAGATCATACGCCTTAGCTCCCACTGCCTTGTTGCGTCCGCCAGCCAAACAAGCAAGGACAGGGTTGAAAATCATAGTCCGCGTCACGGGAGGTATCCTCGTCCATGGCCGTTGGGTCACGTATCTGATCGCACCTCTGACCTGTCGCCACTGTGGCTCTACAGCTTGGAATGTGGAGGTTTCCGTCTTCCCTTCACTGGACGAAGAGCTCGTGCGTGACACCTTAGATCCTGTAACAATCGGTACTTCCTCCTTCTGAGCCTTCTGAATGGCTCCAGCGATGTTGATCTCCAAGATTCCGTCTGAACGCCACCTCCATTTTGGCTCTAATTCATCTGCGTAGCAGGGAGTGAGGTACACTACTTCTCCCGTGAGATCAGCCAATGCTGCTGCGTATCCTGATGCTTCCATTGGATTCTTATCGTACAGAACAGCCAGAATTCCCTCTGGAATCGTCTCTCCATTCCATTTGCCAGAATTCAGCACTGGAAGGAATGCCTTTTCTAGAAGAGTCTTATAGCCGGCGTGCTCAAGATCTTCGTTTTCCATGGGCATGGACTTCTGTCCTGACGGACATGAGTTCGTCTCAATGACGACGAATCGCTTCTGACCCTTCTCGGTTGTCACAGAGAACAAGTCAGCTCCGCCCCACTGAAAGTACCTGAACACAAAAAAAAAAAGAAATGTTCAATATATGTGACGTATTCAATTGTCGAAAATGGTCTCAAATTTCTACGACGACTCACTTGCACGCATATGAAAGCGCCTCTTGAACCGCCTCTGGTTTTGCAGCAGGATGAAGGTGAACATATCTCTTGGCGATCCTCTCGTTTCCAAGCCCAAGAAACGACCTCACAAGAGGGTGAATCTGTGCATTGAGCACTCGAGGGTAGAAATGCGAGGCCGGATCGAACGAACCGGGCTTGTACACTTCAGTCACCCTCAGGTCCCTCTTCAGCGGAGAAGGCGGAGGTGAGAGGCTCTCTTCCATTCCAGCCGGCATGGTGATCAGCGGAGAGAAAGTCAGACACGAAGAGCCAGACGTTTAGTTGTTCTCAAGCTTGGTACTACAGGGAGCCTGTAAAACTTAGACGGTGAAATCGTGGACAATCACACCAAAACGAGTTCCCCACGAACAGTCAATTGGCATAAGCTAAACAGCAGTCACGATCAAGTCGACCGGTCGACAGCCGCCTGAGTGAGTGGTCGAAAAGCTCTGAAGCATCTAATATCCGCGTCCGCAAAGCACACGCCCAGGCAGAGTTGGTCAGTTTGGCTGGTCAATTTCCTGCATGACTGGGAGGGATATTCCAGGTTCACTGGAACCAGCACCTCGTCGTCATTGTTCAGTCCAGTCCAGGCTTGAGCTGGGTTTGTTGGAGATTCCCAAGATGCGAATGTCTCTGGCGGTTTGATTCCACTGAACCGTGATTCCTCGCCATGCCGCGAATTGCGACTCGTGATGTGGAGTCTGCTGCTGGAGAGGGTGATCGGTGACGCGGCATCGAAGCCACATATGTGGTCAGACAATTTCAGCCACGAAAGTGGCCGTCTAAGTGTTGTGTTGTTGAAAACACGATTCACTTACACTATAGAATTTGGGTTTTGAGTTGAGCACGCACTGTTACTGAACTTCTTCGCTCCCAGTGCAGCTACAGTGCTTCTGGCGCACTGTTACTGCTCTGTTTTCGCTCACAACGCAGAGTTAGCTCCTTTCAACGCAGTTTTGATTTCATTGGTCCACACATGGCACATAACTACAAACCGATCCTGTGGATACTGTCACGGAAAACAGTAACTACTTTGATTTGTTTTTAGTGCTAGAACTTTTTATTTTCCCCTTTAAAAAAGGTATCTACCCTAAACACCTTCCGAATGGTGTTTAGGGTTGATGCTCTATCGAGACCAGCCATCGAAAAAAATATACTCGTTGGGAAGGTCATCATTCCTAAACACCTTGTCTCCCGGTGTTTAGGGTTGATGTCTCCCTCGAAAAACATGCCACCCGACAGGGTTTTATTTTTTTTATGCCCACAAGGCTTTCGTTTGACGGTTCTGTGGCCGCCAACCAAAGCAGAGTAATCGGCCCGTCAATTCTACGACCAATGAAAGAAAGACTGCGTTGAGAGGAGCTAATTCTGCGTTGTGAGTGAAAAATGGACAGTAACAGTGCGCCAGAAGCCTTGTAGATGCGTGGGGAGAAAATATGATCAGTAACAGTGCGTGCGCAACTCAAAACCCATAGAATTTACTACAAAATATGTAATATAGGCACAGGAACAGCAAAGTGACAACTAGTTTCGCTGGCTGGGAAACTCAGCACAAAGCTTAGTCGTCCTGGTAATGAGGTCCATGCCGGCCTGATGCAGCTGCTTCTCCCATTTCAACATCTCCGCCACTTTCATCATCTCCATCTAGGAGCTCATCCTCCTCGTCGAACATCTCCATAAACTTCGCTGTGTCGCTGTCCATCCGTCGTCTGAAGAGTGGCCATGCTCCAGATTTCAGCCAAAAGGCAAGAAGGCCAGTGAGGCAGCTGATGCCAGTAACCACGGCAATCACTATGAGAAAAACGTTAAGCAGATTCACATTGTTGGTGTCTGTGCCCTCAAACTCATCTGTGGAGTTAGAAATTAAGGGGAAGAAAGGGGCAGCAAGCGAACAAAACTGAAACAGCACACCAAACAACTGTTCACAAATTTACTGTGAACATGTCACAATCCTGCTTTGGAGCTATCTGGCACAGATTCGGCTAAATTTAAGCAGCTACTTCTGGTAAAACACAATTCCTGTACGCCCTCTAACTGCAAAGTCAACTGGTGGAGGAAAACTGTGAAGCCAGGCACTTGGCACATAATTGCTGAACCTGTTATTCGAACACTTAAAGTGCATACACCCACCATATCACACCAGAACGCATACCCCGGCTTACTTCCAATGGCCAAGTAGCAAGAGAGAAGCTACACATTTCCAATCCTTCAACCAGGTGGTAGCACTTTTCTTTGTTCACTTCGTTGACTTTTGAGTCGACTCAAAAGTCAACATTTCCAATCCTTCAACCAGATGGTGGCACTTTTCTTTGTTCACTTCTAAAACAGCATTGCTAACAAGATGAAGAGGAAGTGTACGTACCTCCAGAGGACCGTGAGGTTCTGTCAGAGTTGCAATGAGGGCAGACAAACGTCACATTCAGCTCGTTCTCCACGAGGCGAGTGAGGCGGCCAGATGGGGCGGGAGCGAAGTCCAGGGGACACAGGTTAAACTTGTCGAACGCATCGTCCTCTGTCAACGTGTCCGCGTCGTAGAAACCGCACTGCTTGCAGTGGCCCTCTGTGAGCTCCGTCAAGGGCTGCAGACAGGGCAAGAGGCACAAGTTGATGAGTGAGGCGGCCGGATGGGGCAGGAGCGAAGTCCAGGTGATACAAGGAGAAGCGGTCAAACACATCGTCCGCTTGGGCTCACACCGAGGACCGACCTGAAAGAACTCCTGCAGAGTGCCCACCTGAAAAGAGATCCTGCAGAGCACCTACATGGAAGAACTCCTGGAGAGCACCCACCTGGAAGAACTCCTGCAGAGCACCCACCTGGAAGAACTCCTGCAGAGTACCCCCACCTGAAAGAACTCCTGAGGAGCACCCACCCGGAAGAACTCCTTCAGAGCACCCACCTGGAAGGGCTCATGCAGAGTGAAATTGTAGTCCACATTTGCTTCCACGACACCGTCTAGCTGGTGCTTGGGCTCTCCCTCGCACTGGAAGTACACTGACGGCTTCCAAAAGGGTAAGTCATGAGTTTGGAAGATCTTGATGCGCTGAAGCCGCACCACGGCAGCTGATTTGGATTGGAAACACAGGGACTCGGGATAAAAGACGAGTGTTATAATAAACGCGTTGAGCAGGCGTTTGGGCTCTCCCTCCCATTGGAATTACACGGATGGCGTCCAGAAGGAAAGGTCATGCGTCTGGAAGATCTTGACGCGCTGAAGCCGTACGACGGCAGCTGGTGTGGAGTGGACGCACAGGGAATCCGCAGGGACGGACGGGGAAGGAACCTGGAGTGAAATCAATGCGATGATCTATTATCAATGCGTCGAGCTGGCGCTTGGGGGTTGGCATTCGAAGTAATGAATGACGACCAGAAGGGAAGGTCATGCGTCTGGAAGATCTTGATGTGCTGAAGCCGAAGCACCGCGGCTGGTGTAGGCACGTAGGGAATCGGCAGGAGCGGAAGGGGAAGGTACGATATGGCACACCTAACGACGGAAAACGCTAGAAACGGTTGGAGAATGCGCAACGTGAAGAAAGAAATGATGGTATCAAGGCACAAATAAATCTCTGTAAAAGTGAGGTCAGAGATTCACAAAGTGGGATCTTGCTGACACGCGCATGCTTTCCGCTAAATTGAAATACCATCTCAGAGCGTGACGCGAACGAGGTGGCTGCATGACGATTATATATCAGATCTCCCTGACACTCAACACCTCGAGCAAAAAAACGTCTTTCTTTCGCGTATTGGCGGCATATCACCTTCGGAGAGAAAAGGCAGGAAGACGGCGAGCAGAAGGCATGCTGTAATGCTGCTGAGCGATAGGCCCCTCATGTCTGGCCCTAATCTGCGGCAAGATGCACGAGAATCTCTGTCGAGATGTCTAGCGCCGAGTGAGACTTCCAGGTATAACTACGCTCTACCACGCCTTAGTAATAGCTTTGATACTGCAAGTAAATGAGGAAAATGGGGTATCTGGGAGTTGATTCCCAGTTCAACTTTGGCGCGTTGCGGTCTAAAGCGGTTTTCCCTAGGAAGTAATTATTACCACGATAAAAACCTACTGAACCGTAGTGTAGGGTCAGCGGGGAAACACATGCCAGGGGGCCAGACTGGTTGTACTGTATTGTTACGGGTGCAATGAATCGAGGTAGCGAGAGTTGCACTAAGGTGTCAAACGAGTACAAAATGTGAGCGAAGGCATGAGCGAACATTTATACGCGAAACATGCAAAACGGTAACGCGGTGCGTGCGAGCTTGCTAGTGCTACGCTGGAGCGAGGCTCGGGCTAGTCCCGAAGCGTAGGCCGA